ATAGTAATAGTAAGAGTAATAGTAGTAGTAATAGTAATAGTAATAATAATAGTAATAGTAATAGTAGTAGTAGTTTTAAGCTGTTCCTTCAAGGAGCAGGCGGACGACCTCGGGGTTGCCTGCGGCAGCGGCACCATGTAGCGCCATACCAAGCCCGCGGTTGGGCTTGATGTTGGGATCGGCCTTCTTGTCCACGAGCCTTAGCATCCGCAGAAGGTCGGTGTTAAGTTTCTCAGCAGGGTGACAAGTAAGGCAACTGCGGTTATACACCCACTCAGAGCACTTATGTCCCTACTTGCGACACTGAAGCACTGGGCACTGGGGGTTGCTGAAGCAAAGGCACACAGATGCTCTTACAAGCAGCACATGTCTCAATGCCAACAGATTGCAAGTTGGCTGCCTCTCCACATCAAACCCTACCCCTACGAGTCAAAACCCGCTTGGGCTACCAGTTGCGAATCGTTTTGAGGCCCGCGTTTTCGGTCCAGGAGCAAGCGGACGACCGTCGTCGATGCCCCGTGCGCGGCCATGTTCAGTGGCGTCATGCCGACGGCATTCTGGACGTTGAGGTCGGCCTTCATCTGCAGAAGCCTTTCGATTCAGCGTCTTTGTCTTATGGTTCTCTCGTGCTCAAGGAAACACTCCATCTAGCATTGCGCTGAGTGTCACCTGAGCAACCTGGTAAACCCAAACAAACAACACCTTGGGGAAACAGCTCAAGGAATAACACAATGCCTTTCTTGGTCCGGGCACAGTCGGACAGCATCCTCAGCTCCTCTTCTTGCGGCAAGATGGAGAGGCATAGTCTCGTGGATGTTCTTTACATTCGGCTCCGCCCTGTTACCAAGAAGCCTAAGCAACAGCAAGTAGCAACTCCGGTCGTCAGCCCGAGAAGCTGGCTCTCCAAAGAACATCGCTCAAGTTAAGACCATCTACAGCTAAACCGAACAGCCGTGAAGTCCGCAGAAAACAATGCAAGTGCTTGGTTGAGGAGCAGGCGGATGACCTCACCGTGTCCCTCTAGCACGGCGTAGTGGAGTGGGGTGTTACCATCGCCGTCCTTCACATTCGGGTCCGCCCTTTTGTCCAAGAGGCGGCGGACGACGCTGACAAGCCCCCTTTTGGCCTCCACATGTTGAGGCCTCTTCCCAGTGCTCGGGTCCTTGGTCGGCCAAAACAAGAACCGCCCGGACAAAAAAGGTCGAAACCAAACCAATGGAACCGAGGTGCTCGGCACTGAGTGGACAGCTCGGCGGTCCAAGTGACATGAAGTCCCTTTGCTGCGGCCTGCAAAGCCTCTTTGCAGTTGCGGTCAGCCTCGTCCTTGGCCTGTGCGATATACATTCAGACATAACTTTTTGAAGGTTTGGGGACACTGCTAAGGCCTAAACCCTAAACTCTAAACCCTAAACCCTAAAACCCTAAACCCTAAACGCCCAAGGGCCTCACGGACTCGCTGCACAGCCTGGGCCAGGGCCACGTCGAGGTGGCAGCTGGACTCAGGACAGTCCCAGCAGGTCCAGCTCATGGTGCTGCGCTGGGCGAAGTCCGTGGCGCTGAGAAACTGAAATTTCTGCAAGACTGGATACCAAGCGGCCCCTCCAGAGAGCAGCTGATGGCGCAGTGCCGGACCAGTCCTGTGGCAGGTGCCAAGCATATCGATGACCAGCACCTGGGGAGACCAGTGCCCCAAGCCGTAGGCTGCGATGCCCAGCGTAGGCATCTCGTGCTTGAAGAGTACCGCCTGCTTCAGAGGGCGCTCGCCTTCCAGCTCCTTGTTTACAAGGGCAACGACCGTGCTCTGCTCTTGCATCTCGCTGCCAAGCACGAACATGAAGCTTGCAAGTGCCCAAACATTATTAGCCATGTTCAGCGCAATAGGATTTTCGACATGGAAGCAAGCGCTGAGCTCTTGGTGGGCTTCCATGATTCTTCCGAGCTCTGTACTCGGATGGAGCGTGTCGTGCTCTGTGAGGTTTGCGAACGCAAAAAGGCTCTCTTTGGAAGTGCGCCCAGCGGGGCCCACCTGCAGGGTGCTACACACCTGGAAACACACCGATGAGCGAAGAAACTTGGAAGCAAACCTCATGTCTATCAAACCATGCATGTCTTGAGATGCTTGACGTGAACCGCCCCCCCCCGCCTCTGGATCGGTCCAGAAACCAGACCACAATATGGCGCGCTTGGTGGGCGCTGCCACCGGACGAAGCCAGCTTTTTAGGAAGAACAGCTTCTGCACCAATCGGTAAGTGTTCCGGTTCTCCTTCCGGAACTTTTTGCCTTCAGGCAAGTGGTAGTTCCAAATTAGCTCGGCAGGGACTTGCATGGCCTTCACCAGCTCCAAGCCATAAAGCAGAATGTCTCTCGCACTCTCGGCACAGGTGATTTTCCACAAGTCTTGAAAGCAATCCGGATGATACTCACTGTCTCGAGGCCTCCCGGCAAACTCCTTGGGCTCGTGGATCTTGCAAGTGCTCTCGAGTGCACTTACCAAGCTGCGCAGGTCGCGTTGGCAAGGGCCCAAAAAGGCAGGATGGAGGGTAGAAACACCGTCCAAAAAATTCATCTCCTCGTGTGTGGCTGAGACGTATTGCGGGAACTCGCTGTCCAGCCTTAGAGTCCCAGCGCCATCGGAGCCCTGGGCATTGATCAGAAACGCCTCCGTTTCGGTCTCTACGGCCATCGATGAGAGGCTCTCTCCCTCTGCCTCGGCCCGGGATGCGGCCCTGGGCTGAGCCTCATGTTTGGGGTCCCGAATGCTATATACCTCCAGCAGGCAAAGGGCGAGGAAAAGAGCCACCGTCATGCCGAGAACGCATGGATCTTGTGTTGAGCAAACATGGGGCGAATAAAACTGAGCCAAAACAGCGTAACTGCTTCAATATGGCAGACCGCAAACATGTCACTCCCGCTTATCATCCCGTGCCGTTTCGTGACACGCAACCTTCCCACGAAATGCTTGGCCGCAGGCTCAGACGAGGCAACTCATTAGTTGCGTGGTTCTCCAAGTTAAGCCGTCTGCACAAAATGGACAAGGCGAATGAAAATAAGAGCAAGTGCAGTCGTCATGGCACTAGTCCTACTCGCAGCCACAAGAATGACCCTAGCAACGAATGTAATGCAGGATGCAAGGAACAAGTGCTGCCAGGGGACCTGCGCAAACTTGGCAGCCATTTCGACTTTGGGGGAGGCTAATGAAGCGGCTAGTGGGCAACAGAAGGCTGCAGCAGCATGTACGGCTTTAGAGTTTAGGCAGCTTTCTGGTTGTTTCTCAGGCTGAAACCACGCAAGACCCAAGTACAAGGATATACAAATATCAACGCTGTACCATGGTAGCTTAAGCTACTGTCCACATTGCAAGTTGGGGTTTGGAGGGCACACTCTCATGCTTTTCGACAGGAGGCCATCGGATTTGCAGTTTGGCGTCGGCTCAGGGTCCAGAATGCTATGAGGACCCGTGCAGTCCTACCATACATTCAGATCCATAAGCTGTATATACATCGCGGACAATTACATACAGACAATGCTGTGATATCTGAGTGCTTAGAGGTTTTCAGACTCCGAGATGAGACTTGGACAAGGGGGGGGGGTTGGCTGGGCGCTATGGGGCTAAAGGTCTTAGGAGTTCTTTTTTTTCAGCAAGTTCAACTTGCCGCTAGGGTCTGCGAAGAGCCCGAAACCCTTACAGCCCGCCGACTTTGACCCCCAAGTCCCCACATCTTCAGAAAGCCTCAGAATTCTTGATACAAGGCCGCTCCAAAAACCACCATGCAGCTGTTGAGGTCGCCGTATTTTCACGAAGTCCCTGCGATTCTTCGGCGGGCAGGGATCCCTCCGCAGAAGCAGAAGAGTCTTCCAGCAAGGTGTTTTGAGCACCAGCGTCCAGTAGGGACTGCAGGATCTCGAGGTGGCCGTGATCGGCCGCCAAATCGACTGCGGAGAAACCCATCTTGTTTTTCAAGTCTTTCCGAGCATCCGCCGCCAGCAGCAGCTCAACCACTTCAGCATGACCTGCTTTTGCTGCCCACATCAAGGCCGTCCAACCGTTCTGTGAGGAGAAATCCTTGTCGGCGCCTTCTTCTAACAGCACTCGTACGACTTCAGCATTACCCGACTCGCTTGCCAGCATGAACGCTGTGCGGCCGAAAGTGTTTGTCAAAGTCTGCCCAGCACCGACCTCCAGCAACACTCGAACAACGTGGCTGTGCCCGTGTTGACATGCCAGCATCAGTGCGGTGAAGCCATCCTCGTTGCGCAAGTCTGTCTGAGCGCCTGCCTCCAGAAGGAATCGCAAGACTTCAGTGCGACCTGCCCTTGCTGCTCTCATCAAAGCTGTGAAACCCATCCTGTCCATGAAGTCCTTGTCGGCGCCGGCCTCCAGTAGAAGTCTCGCCACCTCAACATGGCCTCGCATCGCTGCCAACTGCAGTGGCTTGAAGCTGTAGCTGGTGTCCTCGTCTGGATTCAAAGGCAGCTGCAGCAATGCTTCAACCTGAGGGTTGAAGGGTACAGGCAATGTAGGTCCAACAGCCAAGGAATGAGAAAGTTGGAGACAATGCCAGCCTGAAAGCCTGTTACGTACAGCATGCAGACAGAGGGCATAGCTGGGTTTTTCAAGAGGATTGTAGGAAGCAGTTCATGTCAGCACATGCCAGCCCTCGCGACTGTCATGTGTTGCCAATCGCGCACTTGGTAAGGATAGGAACCAGAATGATGCTGATGCCGCATGCTTCACGTGTTCACGGTCGTTGTCCAAACATCGAAACATATCCAAACCATCATGAAGCTTCAGCATAGAGTAGTACGCCTTGATTTGGGACCCCCCAAAAAAAACTGTGTGCCCTTTAAAGCTCCCGAAATGGAACCTGGCCTCGGTCTCGAAGCCTTCTCTGGCGGCGTCTCCGAGCTCTTTTCGTTGGCTGTAGGAGGCCTCGGAGAAGGCCAATATCAGAATCTCCAGATCCATGGGCAAGTCCAGCTGGAAGGCGTCACCCAAATTCATGCCCTCATAAAGCAGCCGTTGCCTAAAGCGTGGTGGAAGGCCATGCTCCTGATGCAATCGCTGCTTCAAGGCCCTCACATCACTCAGTTCTGCAACAGGAATGCTCGTCACATCTTCCCCGGAGAGCAGCGCGATGCGCAGCATGCCGAGCTGAAACTAGCAAGTGTCCGGGCTTCAGAATTCGAAGCTTCGCCTGCTTGTCTTAAGGGTTTGGAGCTTTCATGTTTAGCAAGCAAGGCTATTAAGGGGAAGCGTGGGGTTGTGCCGAGGGCAAATGGGCTAACGTGGACAAAGCTCTCGTCGGCATAATTTCGTCCCAAGAATGGACAAGATAGGCCTAAAGATTTCACAAACACATGCATGCAGCTCAAGGAGTTGAAGCTCTAGTAGGAGACGATGGCCCAGTATCGTGGCAGTGATGTTCCAAGCAAGCCGAGATACATGCACGTATCACTACTACCATTACTCCAACAAAACAGCTGGCAGCATCCATACACATGGTAGCACGAATTACGATATTCTCACAGAACGCCTGGTTACAAGATTCATGAGCCGTCTTTTGCCAGCAGCAATGCTAATACCAATACGGTAATAGTATTGGTGATAGCATTGTAAATATCGCTAGCAGTTAAAAAGGTAGCAACAACAGTGACAGTAATGGCAGTGGTCATAGTAATGAGAGTTCTTCTAGATACTAATCCTACCGATACAAATAGTACTAATTAGCACCCACCAACCCAAAATGGGGTTCTCAGCGTCGGGGGTGCCCAGAATGCCATCCCCCAACAAAAGCTCTTCTGGTGTTTAGGGTTTATATCAGGAACCCCTCGTTTTCAAGCTTCCGAAACGGGGTTCTTTCATACGTCTCGCACAAGATCTGTTCGGATCTTGGCTTTTTACCATGTCTGCTGCCATACTGTGACAACAGATGTCGTTCCCTGTTTTCAGCCTTTCGCGAGTATATTGGTCTGTGATGTCGGGCATGTTTGCTGTACTCCGCTTCTCTTGCACTCTTGGTTCATGTCAAGACAATGATAGGAACTTCTTGCCGCCATCGTTATCGTCTCTTCTTCTTCATGGGGCTGAATGTCATTTTCACTGGCATTAAGTAGCATGTGCTGGAGACGTACCAATGCTGCAGAAGGTGCACACTGTTTGGGCTTTCAGGCACAAGCTGAGTCCGAAATCGTGGGCCCAACAGAAAGAACACCAAACTCAACACCCGACCCCAGGCCCTTCAGCCACCCTCCCAGAAATTTGTGAAACCCTGATCAATCACCCCTGCAAGCGCACCATCTTCGGTGGGGTAAGCTCTTGTTTGCATTGGCTCCGCTCCAACTCCGGGAGTCTGCGCAGCTTCGACTTCTGCTGATGTGCAACATACGGCCACAGACCAAAGCATACCAATATACACGGTGACATATTGCAGTATATCACGACTTCTGCGGCTCTTATACCGCATACTACACCCTAAACCCCCAAACTCCAAAACCGCCCTAAACCCCATCTCCTATAACTCGAAAGCCCTGCAACCCTTTACTCTACGATTGCCTCTTACGCAGGGCGCGCCGCAACTGCAGCCTCTTCTTCGCGCTTCACTTGCGCCTCCAAAAGCAAGATCTCCACCTCCACGTGGCCATGTTCCTGTGGAAGTTTGGGTTTAGGGTTTTGGGGCTTGGGGATTTAGGGTTTTAGGGTTTACGGTGTTAGGGTTAGGGTTTAGGGGTATCAGTGTCGGGCTTATGTCTTTTGGCCCAGAATTCCTGAATGGGTCATGGGACTTCGTAACTAGGGTTATAAACAAGATGACTGTACTTACGACTGCATATAAGGTCCTTCAGGTAATCCCAAAACAAGCTAAACCCTAAACCCTAAACCCTAAACCGTGGTGAAGCCTCATGCGAACCAAGGTTCAGTGGCTATCTCAAAGGCCCTGCGACCCTGACTGTCGCGCAGCTCCGTTTCCGCACCTAGCTTGGGGGTTTTGCAAACATGATGAAATAGGTACCTCCATAGGATCCTGAACCCTAAAATGCCGTAAGCCCTATAACCCCCGAACCCCAAAAGCCATAAAACCTCAAACCTAAGGCCACCTAGGCACCATGCTCGAGCAACACCTTGGCGACCTCATGATATCCTCGCTGGGCTGCCAACATCAGGGCTGTGGAACCGTCGGCGCGGGGCAAGTCTACCTGGGGAGGGTTTAGGAGTCTAGGGTTTTAGGCCCAATGCAGTAACACTCTAGGAGGGCCTAGATATCTACCTTGTAAATCCTATCTCGGGTTGTTCTTTCCGGATGCGGTAACAGTCGATACTACAATAGGGGTGCCTTGTACATCTACATCGTGAAGTCTGCCTGGGAATGTTCTTTTCTGCGGGCTAGCACTCAGTTTTGGGGTCTACACTATCGTTTTTATAAGGAACCACCAAGATTCTATTGGTAATTTTCAGGCTCCTATAGTATCACACTCTACAGCCATATCAACCCAGCATGAGACCCCTGTGAAGGCCCTTAGAACGGACACCGAAATGAAACTGTTGACATCTTCTAACCGACGGCAGTAAAGAGGTCATCTACTATCCTTAGCAGGCTGTGCTTAAAAGATCATGGGACTTCGTAAATAGCGTTGTAAATAAGCTACGTTTAACACTTATAACTACTAAGTCCCATGATCCCCCAAGTAGTTTCTGGCCCCCCCCCACCTGAGCCCGAGCCTGCAGCAGTAACCTGCAGATCTCCACGCGCTCGCGCCAAGAAGCATGCGTGAGGGCTGTCCAGCCCTCTCTTCCGCCACGCAGGTCCAACTAGGGGGTTTGAGAAATTTTATCTGGAGTTTTGGAATTCGGGGTTATGAGATTGTATCAAAACGTTGAGTCTCAGGGGTCGGATTTTGGGGCTCCCGCCTGAACATCAGACTCCAGAAGCTTTTGCACAGTCTGAATGCGGCCGTATTCCGATGCCCGCATCAAGGGCGGGCCGATGACGCCGGGCACATTGGGGTCCAAGGGGAGGGAGAGTAGCTCCTCCACCTCAAGACTTCCGACGCTTCGGGAAGCTTCTCTGAGAGACGGAGAGAGAGAGGGAGAGAGAGAGAGAGAGAGCACGAAGAGACTAGCAATAAGAAACATTGTAACAGTGCCACTAAACCCTAAACCTCATAAACATGGTACAAGTAATGATAGGGGTTTAGGGTTTAGGGTTTAGGGTAATGATGATGGTAACAAGAGCGAGGAGAGAGGAAGGGAGAGAAAGAGAAAGAGACTGTGGAGACGCTTCCGAACTCCAAAAAAACCCGAGTTAAGGGAAACTACAGGTGGGGAGTTTAGGGTGGATAGGGCTTAGGATTTAGGATATAGGGTTTAGGGTTTAGGGGTTTAGGATTTAGGGTTTAGGGTCTACAGGTGGGAAGTTTCGGGTAGATAGGGCTCATAAGGCTTCTATAAGGTATATAGACCCTCTATAAGGCTCCTATAACCGTAACTACCCACCTGAAAATGCCCTAGACCGAGACCTGCAATACCAACCCTGCCAATACTGCAAGAAAAACTGTCCCATGATATACGATAAGTGAGCAGTAGTTTACTATAATATACGATAGTATACTGTGATATGTTATGCTACAATGTAATGCAACCCCCAAGCCTCGTCCACATCGCCGTTGACGGAGGCGTCGGTGAGGATCTCTTTCCTGGATTCTTCCGGGCCCCCTGCTTTTTCAATAATACGGTTGATGATATAAATCCTGCACTACCCAAGATAAGGAGCATACCATAATTCCCATAGCTTAGGGCCCTTAAGGTAGTGCAGGATTTATATCATCAACCGTACGTACTAGGCCCCATGACAATTACCAAAGAATCCAAAACCCAAGTTTCAATTCCTGTTCCTGGTAAAGCCCTGTCAAGCTGGACCTGGTTTAGGATTCCCATCGAGGACAAAGCGGCGGATAAAGGTTATCCATCGGTTCGCCGTTGAGGCCTAGTCGCGGTGGACGTACGGGAGGTTCGACGAAGGCAAGCACAAGAACCTCCAGGGAAAAGAAAACTCGATTACATAAGGCTTTCCATGTTGTGTTTTCAATGGTGACCCAGAGATCGAAAGTCAATAAGTACTATTTTTCTTCCTAGTATTGCTATTGTGTTGATTCTTACTAGCAGAATAATGAATTTATGGGTTCGAGCAAGGCTTCAGGGTCAGGTGGAGGGTGGATAAGTTTACCACTGCTTTGTACTGGGCAAACTTCGAGTTAAGAAAAGGCTGATTTGGACGGGGTCGTAGTGGCGAAGCAACTCCAACTGTTTTCAAAGCTACGTACGAAGACAATCACATTCATAATGCTTCACGCGATGCTCCTTGATTCACAACTTTCGGAGTCATGCTTTTGAGCTTGTTGTTGGTCTAGAGGTTTAGGGTTTAAGATGGTTTAAGGTTCCGAACCGTGAGATCCATCGCAGTGTCCAGCTTCTCGTCATCGTCCAAATTTCGCCCCTCGTGCACCAGCTTTTGCCTAAAGCGTGTCGGCAAGCCGTGCCGCTGATGCAATCCTAAGTTGCGGTCTAGGCCACCTGAAAATTGGTTCTGGAGAGTTTTCTTGGCACCCCCAAATAAGGCATATCTGGACGACTGCATAGGCACTCACCCCAGACTCTAAAACCCTAAACCCTAGACCCTCAAAACCCCTAAACCCCAAACCTTGTATGACAAGATCAAGGGGAATCTACCCTAAACCCTAAACCCTATTCTTGCCAGGATTCGCAGCTTCAAGGACCTGACATCCTCTATCTCCGCAACTGGAATTCCTGGGTGGCTGCTAATGAACTTCAATGAAGTTACTATACTAAGGAAACCCAGTTACTTACTATGTTTCCCCCCCCTTATGCTAACTTCAACTAAGTAAGTTACTATAACAAGGAAACCCTAAACCCTAAACCGAACCCTATTTCTTACTCTATATCACCCACTATGGCAACTTAAACTACGTTCCTAAACAACACCCCAGATTCTTGCCAGCTCTTCCCCCGAAAGCTGAGTGATGTGCAGCATGCCGGCGGATGAAGCTTATAAATAAGGGGTTATAAGTACGGGAACTATACTTACAAGCCATATTCGGGGACTTATAACCCCACTTATAACTATATTAGCTACTGCCATCATTATGGGTATTCTTATTGTTACTAGTGTTACTTTTCTATTGTTATTGATGTTATTAAAGCAACTATTGTTGGAATTATCAGATACAAAGGATAAATGCCCGATCCCGTCTGCCCCGAGTTTTGGCGGAGTTCTGCTGTGAGCCGAATACACAGAAGAAGGCGTTGGGGCAGGGTTTAGGGTTTAGGGTATCTTGGTAGATACGACGATAGTAAGGATCCCGAAAAGTGTCGCAATGATTTTTGAGGTTTCAGCTCCTGCTCAAAGAGACTCACCTGCGGGTTCCACGCCGGAAAGAACACTACTATACCGTACTATACCATACTCTACTAAACTTGACTAGACTCGACCATACTATGTCTACGTACACTGTGTTGCCTGACTCTAACATGCAAGTGACAGCAGCAGGTGCTAGCAAAGCGCTGGCTACGAAGGCTGCGGAACTCAAACCTCAAGGGTGACGCAAAACCCTGAGGGCTGGAACACCACTCAGAAGTAGTCTATACACTGTAAACATGGCAGCGCTGTAGTAAGCGGGGAGAAACTAGCAGAACAGCTATGAACAGAGCAATAAGGATCTTTGTGCCGTCACCGTGCTGGGCACTGACAACTTTGCCAGGGACGTAGGAAACCTGTCTCAACTTCCAGCCTGCTGACGGCTGCCGAGAAAGGCCAC